AAACACCTCTCGAATAATGTGCTTTGTAAACGTAATGCACCACTCAATATCGTTTCCTTTCCGTTGCGACGTACAAAAGAAAATTATAGGAAAGAACTTGCCCCGACAATCTGAAAATCCAAATACGAATACAGGGAATTTTTGCTTGTAGGAACCAAAATGTTGTCGTCGTGCTGGGAGTCACAAAGTATTATCATTCTCTTGGGATCGTCACGTATATTTTCCAAGTTGTCAAGCATATACTGGCTACAAAGGCCAATCACTGGCTGAACTGCATCTCTTTCGTGAGCCTTACGCCATTTTTTGGTGTGGCTCTGTACTTGATTAAGGAGCGGCGGAGGGCCATCGAGCGTGAGGCGGGATATTTTCTTGCAAATAATGCCAAACAGAGCCACAGGGGTGATCGATGCGTCTTCGGCGAGCCGCTCGTCAATGCACGTCTTCATGTTAGTCGTCAACACTGGCAGTGTTGTTGTCGGAGATAGTGCAGTTGTATCTAACATTGCATGTTCGCCATCGGCCGATACAGTTGCCAAAATGCTCATTTCGCACGTTAATATAAGGTATCGACACGGACATTCTACGTCGCTCAGGTTACATCGCGCTGACGTGCACTTCGTGATAATTCTGCGCATGGTATGTCGTGTCATCAGCGTTTCGTCATCATCAAAACGGGCGTGGTCCAACGTGCATCTTTCTGGTGTATTTCGTTGACGAGTACGACTTGGCAGCGAATCCACATATTCATCCAGTGTCATTTCGCAATTCGTGGCTGAATTCCATATCTCTATCCACGGTATTCTCCGTCCACTGTGGTTAGCTCGATTCGAGTCCATAGAATTCTGTAAAACATGAATATAGCCTTAGTATAATTGTTGCACGTGAAATATTAAGCATATAGGAGAGCGAGTGAAGCGTACCATCGTTGCCAGGTCGCTTATTCTGCAAGCAGGCTTTTGAATGTGATGAGCGAAACAAAGAATACCTCCCGACGCGCTATAATTACTTTTATTAATGCCAGAAACTACCAAAGCGCAACTTAAACGTCCAAATCACTAGTAATTCAGTCTAATTAGATGGTGAGTGATTCCATCCGATGCTATGGTGATGGGTTCCAATTCTTTGGTGATCGTGTCAACATGGGTGGTGTAAGGTTACCTCACTCTTATGAGGAAGCTAGCAAAAAAAGTATTCCGGACAACTTGACCTGGATAGACGGTTGATAGG